AATAATATTGTTAACCAAATAGTGTTAATTACATTAGCATGAGGTTAATTTTACATTAAGATAAGTGTTATTGACATTACGATATATTTTTTAAAATTTTAGAATGTCACTAAATTAAATTTGACCTGCTACTACACTACGTACTAAGACTTTTATAAATTTGGATAAGTTAATTTGTTTGTTTATTACATCTAGGTTAAAAACATCTTTAAAGTCTAGATAATTAAATTCTTCAAACTCCCTCAGTTCCTATATAAAAGCCCACATTCATTTTACACACAATTTAAGAAAGTGAGATTGTTTGGCACTGTTTTCACTGTTTTGTTTGCTAAAGACAGAAAGATAGCTTTTATTTAGTGACTACATGAAAAGGAAGGAGAGATTTTTATTTAGGGACGGTGAGAGAATAAAATAGACTTAAGAGGGATCCGGAGCCTCTACCTTACTTTAAAGTAAGGCAGAGTGTCTTGCTTCCTCCCGGTCGTCCGATCGACAATTCAACGGTCGGAGGTCTTGAGTTCCACTTTTTCGCCGATCTCGAGGTCGTGTTGGCCGCTCTCTTCCCGTCCAATGCGCAAGGCACCCTCCTAGTCGGGTAGAGGATCCCAATCGGACTTGAGACTTAAATAATACATCGACCCACTTCAATTCTTTAGTGTAAAAAGACTTAAGTCTAGATAATTAAATGCTTAGTACTGTTAGTAGCTGAATTACATTAGTCTTCGATGCCTTCTTGAATTCTTGCTGTTATGCTTTTGTGGATAAAGGTTATTTTTTGTCTTCCGCACTTCTGGAAACGTAATTGGTTCTGTCAAGAGTTTAAAAAATAATAATCGTTGCCTCAAACTTACACTCGGTTTGAATTTCTATGCTTTTAGAACTGGAATGAACAACTAGATTCTAGATCTATTGGGGGCAATCCATTTTTTTGATGGGGGCAAATGTGTGAAAATGGTTTTATTCCTAGTGGTTTATGCGAGACTACGAGACTTTTGTTGGGGGCAGCTGCCCCCCTATTTGTATATGTAGATCCGCCCCTGATCACGTCTGATGTTAGAAATATGAATTACAAAGAGCAATGAAATACTTGCCCATAATATAATGAAAGGAACTTCTGAAAATACGAACCATGGAGTAATGAAATGAAAGATGTATAGTACCATCTGTGGTGAAGCACCAGAAGCAATTTGAAAGTCAACAACAACAAACTGAAAAGGTTGATTTCAAATAACAGCTTATTGAAAAAGAGAAAATGAACAACTTATTGAAATAAGGACAAAACGATCAGACACAAAGGCAAACTAAAACTAGTAAAACAGAAGAGTGCCCAGACTCTGATCCAGATATACCAAAGAACGAGCAGCGGTGTTATACATTTCAGTTTGCTGTTCGTGACTTCCAAATTACTTCTGGTGTTTCACCACAGAAGCTCATGCTTATATTGAATTCAAAAAAAAAACATTTCCTTCAACATGCCTCCAGAAAACTGAAAAAAGAGTAGCGAAGAGAAACTAACTTTTAATGATTTCTAAAGGAATTAGCATTGAACTCTAGACTATAAGAGACTTTTAGTTCATAAAGAAACTTACTTTGTCTTTAACATATCCGAGGTTAGTAGATAGAGCCTGAAAAACTCAAAGAGGCCACATAAATTGAAACACTATTAGGATAAATGTTATAAGCATTTCATATATTAGCATAAACTTCAAAAGCATATATTCAACTAAAAATGTAGATACTAATAGCTTAAACGTAACAATACATAATAAACTTACATAACATTAAGGCCTAAAGTTTGAACGGCAATTCCAGCTGCAAAAGAAGAAGAAAGCATAAGTTCAACAAAATATTTTATTTAAGTTTCATCTTAATGAAACAAAGAGTCATCTATTGTGTACACGTGAAATACCCACTCCAAAAATATTCCAAGCTAAGGATGTAAATATTACTCAAAGAGATAGTTTAGGTATAATAGTAAAATCAGTATTATTCAATGACAAGAAGGTGTATCAATCAAAGGTATATCAACTAAAGAATGTGTGTTTGAGAAAGAATTAATCCAATAACTTAATATGAAAATGAAACACAGGGAGATGTACAAAGTAGAAAGTGGATACCCGAATAAACTAGTAAAATGGATACAAAACAGAACTTTCTGCCTTGCTAGTTATGGAAGCTATAATTGAGAAGTGGCTCACAACAAGATCAATGATTTAGACATATTATAGTATATCATATCAAATGTACTTACATGAACATATTGTATTTCATTAGGCAGATTAGTGCTTTCTCACCATCATTTTTATTGAGGCATTTTTTCAAATAGTTGATAGGCATTAAAAACTAAAAACTAAGAAATAAATTTATCTTTCCAACTGACAGAATCCCCAAACCCAACCACCTTCCGGAACAGCCAGCATCTGCTATCAGGATTCACACCATTCCCACCTCCTATCACAACTCGACAGCACCTGCAGAACCCAATTCCGACACCACATGCTGCATCTTCACCGACATTCTGGTTCAAAACTCTGAACCACTCATCCAGCTGAAACCTCCGACCAAATACAAGGGAATGCATTCTGTATCTTTCACACAGGAGGAAGTTATCAGCCTATCACCCTACTAAACACTCTATCACCCCCAAACAACCATACCACTAACGACCCAATCCCTAAACCAATTGATGGACCAGAAATGACTCACCCAGAAGAACAACCACATATCCTCCCAATACACAACTCAGGCTCCAACAACCACCCCATACCAGCAACAAAAATAAAAGCCAACAAAAAAATGCCCTAACACAAACCATCCCAATACTTACACTCTCCCAAACCGCTAAAGAGACCAGAGAAAAAATGAAACACACAAATGGTAGAAATGAACCAGCAAAGAATTGGACAGTCAAAGTGCTAATTAACATACTGAAATTGCAACACCCATTACCTATTTGCAATATAAAATGAGTATATATGAACCTTAGAGAGAAGACGCAGTAAGGAGCAGTAAGGCGGCCGGACGTAGTACAGAGACAGAGTACAGTGACGGACTAAATCAATCAAACTGTTGAAAGGTGCTCTGGACTAAATCGATCGAACTCAGGCGACGGAGTACGTCCTCTAGCTCTGGACGAAGAATTGGCCAGTTGAGAAGGATAGTAGCGATGAGTTCCGCGGCGGAGTAAGCCAAAGACGGAAATTGATCTGCGTTGAAGGTTGAGGGCCTGTTTGGATGGAGTGTTTGGAAGTGATAGTAATGGAAGTGTTAGTAAGTGTCAGTAAAGGCTCGGAAGGGAAGGGAAGTGTAAGTGTTAGACATAATTTTACCTTGTTTGGGAAAGTCAAATGAATGAAGTGTTAATAATGGAAGTGTTAATAATTTTACCTTGAGGCAAAAGAAACGAGTAAAGAGAATAGATGAAAAAACAAACCATCAGACCTGTGGGAAAGACATTCGAAGTGAAATGTCGAAGCATTTTATGTTTTTCGGGTAAATGAGAAGGGTAATAATTGTGCAACACCTCAAAACACTCCAAATCGGGGTGTTAATAAAATGGACAATTGAGGTGTTGGGAAGGTTATTATTAACACTTCCTAACCATTACTAACACTTCTTAACACCTCTGGATTTTTCTCCCAAACAAGTGTTAGCATCAACACTTACTAACACTTCCATTACTAACACTCTTCAACACTCAATCCAAACAGGCCTGAAGGTAGGGTTACGTTTGTGCGGCTCTAGAGCTATGGAAGAATGAATAGATCGATGGAAAAATATTTTAGTGGGATATGAAAAAATCTTGAAGTGTAATGCAAAAAAACCGAAGTGTTAGTTAAGTTCTAAGAAAATTAAAGCACACCCGACGCATTAAGTGTCACTATGTGATAGTGATGTTTTTTTGTTAGAAAGTAGTGACACTTCTAGGTCATTAGTAGTATTCTGTCAGAAAAGCGTCACCAACAAAAGTGTCACTATAAGCCTGTTTTTTACGAGTGGTGTACAGACGAAAATTGTATATGTACAGACATGATAGAGTATATGGCCCAGGAACCCCCGGCCCATAGACTCCTACTTTCCCCACAAAGGCCCATCGAGCCCAAGGAACATCTGAGGCCCAAATACAGCGGCCCAAGCCTCAAAGAAGCCCAAAGTACACACTGGGGTGCCTTCGGCCTCCTTGGCCGAAGGCTCCAAAACTCACAGGATAGCCTTTTTTGGGCATACGAAGCTACTGGGAGAAAAACGGCAGGAAACAGGAGCCTTCGGCACTGTTGAGCCATCGGCATCAGAGAAGCCTTCGGCTACAGAGAGCCCTCGGCTGCGTGAAGCCCTCGGCTGCATGAAGAGCCTTCGGCTAAACAGACTCAATCATCGAAGATTCCCTTTGGAGACAGCCAACTACCGCATTTAATGCGACGTCACATCCACCCACCGCATTCAATGCGGTGAACATGCCACTGCCGGTGCCACCCCGATTGATGTGACCCCTCGGCCGTTGGATTACTGACACGTGTACTCTCGTCGCATTTATTGCTGCTATAAATAGCAGCTCATTTCTCCTTGTAAACGATCCCAGATCCACATCTCAACACTCTGAGTTCATTTAATAAAATCAACTCTCTCTCCTCCTATTTTGCTCTGACTTCTCTCTAAGTTATTCCCGCAATAACCCCTCGGATAAGATACCCCGGGTAGACTATCCATCAAGACACTTTTTTGTTTACACAGATAATTAATGTCTGTGTACATTGACATTGGTTTCGGTGCAACCACTGATAGATCTGCAAAAAGGTACATCAATCAGCAAACAAAATTAATCCAAAGTGTCTATGTATATACTTTTGTTAAATTTTTGTGATTGAGCCGTGGGTGAGTGGAGGTGGAAAAGGGTGATGTGTGAAGAATGTGTGGGTGAGAGAGGAAGAGCATAGGCACGTGGACAAATGATGTCGCTTTTTATCATATGCTACATCCATCCTCTATCCTGTACGTGTGGATTGAGATGGAGATTGGAATTGGAGGCATGGATATATCCTGTCCTCACCACACATTTGCCGCATCCATTTTCTTTTCTGTTTCTTCTTCTTCTTCCCAGCTAGCCCCCCCATATCACAGCACATATAAAAAATAAACACTACGGATCCGAGTACGTACGTAATTATAAGATCGAATCATAAACAAATAGCATAGGTGGTGCAAACTATAGCGCGCAGGCCTGCCGGCTAGGAAGCTAGCTAGAAGCTTTCGATCGATCGATCAGCAATGGCTGCTGCAGCTCTTCCTTACTCAACAATCGCCCCCAAGTTCCGCTCCAAAACCTACCCCAAGGTCGATCCATCATCATTTCAACTCACTACCTAGCTGCTGCTTATGATTTGTTTCTTTGTTTTTGTTGTAAAACATCAATCAATCCCACTATATAAGATCGTTTCATGCAGGTGCCTGAGTTTTGTGGTCTCAAATCGAGTGGGTGTGTGACACTAGTTTCCGCTTCTTCTTTCTCCCGTCTTGTGGCTTCTCAACTCACTCCCAAAGTAAGGGATTATATATATATATAGCAATAGCATGGCAGTAAATGAGGGAAGGATCCATTTGTAAGCTGCTGAAAATGATGCATGACTCTCACACTGCGTGCTATACGCTTAATTAGCTTATATTGTATTTCAATAGATTGGGTGGGTGGGTAGCTGATCCGGATTTAATAATAATTTAATTGAAGGCCGGCGATGTGCAATTAGAGTGCAGGATCGCAGCAGCAGCAGCAGCAGGGTGGAGGAGTAGCGGTGGTTGCTGCCAAGCTTCAGGTTGCCATCAACGGCTTCGGACGCATCGGTAGGAACTTCCTGCGGTGCTGGCATGGCCGCAAAGACTCCCCGCTTGAGGTCGTCGTTGTCAACGATAGTGCCGGTGTCAAAAGTGTACGCCCCTCACTCCATACATCTCATCTCAAAACTTAATTCCCTACGGAGTATTATATTGTTTCTCTCATCTTCAATCCCTAAGACAAAATTATATGAATGAAAACTTATAAGCACGAATGATTGTTATGGCATTTTAGGAATGATAAAAGTGTTGGTGTAACACTAAAGCAATTTACACTTGTACATTTTATTTTAGTCATTGTACCATTCATCATTAAATTTAAATCTTCCCACAAACTTTTGAGTTTCCATTTAATTATTCTTAGATTGATTTGATTCCCATTTAATGTTCTAATTGTCTTTTTTCATTTTTTATTATGTATGTTACCTTATGCAAGAATTTCGAAAATCATTATTCTATTCTAATTATTTTAATTTGTCATTTCTAATTTAATTATTCATCTTATTTTTAGTGCTTATTTTTATTATTATATATATTTAAAAACTTTACCATTTCAAAAGTAGGTAGATTAAGAATAATGATAGAGAATATAAATTATTGAGAGTATGATGGGAAAATAGTGGAATAATGTGATACAATGAAGGATAAAGCCGAAAAAGTAGTTGTAATAGTGTTTTATTTTCAAAATTATTGAGGGTATGATGAGAATATTTAGAAGTTGGAAGATTTTTTCGTTAAGAACGAAAAAGGAAAGTGGGAATTTTTTTTTTTTGCCCGAAGCGGGGGTGGGTACCCCCCATGGTCCCTAACTCATCCACTGTCGATATCGTACTTCAGATGTTTAGTGCTATTGGATTCAAACATAAAAATGGCGTACATGTTCTAGCTAGGCCCTATAAACCTAATCATCCTGCCCACCTTTTCTTAGATTGTTTATTACCACATTATTGATATTACATTCTTATAGGGCGTTCCGGAACGATCCATGTCAGGCTTATGGGAAAAGAGATGCTCACGCCCCTTTTTAATCATCTGTTATGTGGGAAAATATGCATAAAACTAATCTTATGTGCAATTTCACATAACTTAATTAAATATATTAATTATTAACATTCACATTATGTTAATCTTGTTAAAATAACATTAGTCATTTTTCCCTCGCGCATCTGGCGTTATAGAACTAGTAAATAGATACGACTAAAACTCCCCAATGCCTTTGTTAGTTTTCTCTCTCAAAATAAGAGAAACAGTACCGAATTGATGAACAAACTCAACTGATTCCGGCCAACCAAATGTTCAAACCCAACCCCAGTTACAATTCCGAAAATTGTTAGTTATTCTGATTTAAATTCAAAGATCAAAAGCGATTTATATATGGATACAGGCGGCTCACTTGCTCAAATATGATACCATGTTGGGAACGTTCAAAGCCGACGTGAAGATAATTGACAACGAGACCATATCTGTTGATGGGAAGCATATCAAGGTTGTCTCTAATCGGGACCCTCTCAAGCTTCCCTGGGCTGATTTGGGCATTGACATTGTCATTGAGGGAACAGGTGTGTTTGTGGATGGTCCAGGAGCAGGAAAGCACATCCAAGCAGGTGCTAAGAAAGTCATAATCACTGCACCAGCTAAAGGTGCTGATATTCCAACCTATGTTGTTGGTGTTAATGAACAGGATTACTACCATGACGTCTCCAACATCATCAGGCAACTTTTTTCCATCCACCCCAATGTTTTTTCGACAAACTAATAATGATCAATTAACGGTTTCTTTCTTTCTTTGGTCTCTATTGCAGCAATGCGTCCTGCACTACTAATTGTTTGGCTCCTTTTGTTAAGGTCATGGATGAGGAACTTGGTACGTACTGACACTTAAGTATAGAAATTATAGAATAACTAACAAGAAATGTGTTTCCAGTTTTGTAATGGATATGGAAAACTATTCATTTTTAGGTTATGTTGGGAACATGGAAAATACCAGAGGAAAGTAGAGAAGCAAAAAAACACAAACTGAATAGTTCTTTTCCAAAAGCAAATGAGTTTGAACAAATATCAGAAATAAAACTATTGACCTTGAGCCAATTTTTTCTGTCACTTGCATAGTCAGATTTTATTTTCCTTCCAAATTTGTCTAGATCCAGGATCCTGTGTACTTTTCTCTATCAATCATATTAAAAGGACCCTAACACCCCCTGGCTCGAAGGAAATAATTTGTTAATGATCCCTCACAATTTGATCAGTGTCTCTGGTTTCGAAAATATATACCCCAACTCATCTCCATTCTTTTTCTGTAGGTATTGTTAAGGGAACAATGACAACAACTCACTCTTACACAGGAGATCAGGTATTAATAACATAACAAGAGTCCCTCCTAATAAAAGAACCACGGAGTACAATTACAATATAGAAAACCCAGATAATACTATTGAAAAGAAAGAAATATGTCATCAAGAGCTATTTTATTTCTTGTGTTTCATCTTAACTGGGAAAATGTAAACATAAATGATATAAGCTAAAAGTGAATATAATAATAGTATTATTTCAATTATTGTTCTGCCTCTACAAACGTGAGAGCATAGGTATATAAATACCCATATGGTCAACAAAGCAAGTCAACATAAAAGGAAATACTTAACCTAAATACAATATCCATATGATATACTAATAATGAGAATATAGCTACATAATCAGCCAAATATTTTGGCAAATAATATAATATCTCGTAATACCCCCCTCAAGTTGGAGCATGAGGATCAAGAATGCCTAACTTGCGAAGAAGAAAATGGAACTGAGTTTTTCCAAGAGCTTTAGTGAAGATATCGGCAAGCTGGACAGTAGTAGGAACGTAGCTCGGTGCAATAAGACCTTCTTTAATGGCATCACGAATGAAATGACAATCCATTTCAATGTGTTTAGTGCGCTCATGAAACACAGGATTACGCGCAATGTGCAGAGCAGATTGACTATCACAAAACAATGGAATAGCAGATGAGTGATTGACTCTAAGACTGACAAGCAAAGCTTTGAGCCATTTGAGCTCACATGTCGCAGCGGCCATAGCCCTATATTCAGCCTCGGCAGAAGAACGAGAGACAATTGATTGGTTTTTGGTCTTCTAGGAAACAGGGGAATGACCAAGAAATACAACCCATCCAGACAGAGAGCGACGGGTAAGAGGGCATGCGGCCCAGTCAGAATCACACCAACCTTTGAGAGTAAGATCAGTATCCGAACGAAGAAGAATGCCCTGACCTGGGGAACCCTTCAAATAGCGAACCACACGAAGAGCAGCATCCCAATGCTCCTGGCGAGGTGCCTGCATGAACTGAGACAAAATATGAACTGAATATACCAGATCTGGTCGGGTCACTGACAGATAAATAAGACGACCAAGTAGACGACGATATGGCTCAGGATCCAAAAGAAGAGGACCCGATGCTTTAGCCAAAGAGTGATTCTATTCAATGGGAAAAGCTGTAGGCTTGGCGCCCAATAGTCCTGTTTCAGATAAAATATCCATAGTGTATTTCCTTTGAGTAAGGAAAAGGCCAGATGGGCTACGAGCCACCTCAATGCCCAGAAAATACCGTAGAGTCCCCAAATCCTTCATGTGAAAACAATCGCTGAGATATGATTTAAAATGAAGGATAGCCTCATGATCATTGCCCGAGATAATCAGGTCGTCGACGTAAACTAGTACATTTAACTGAATTGAATCCCGGGTATGAGTAAAAAGAGAGTAATCCGCATATGATTGAAGAAAACCATAGCCCTTCAGTGCCCCAACCAATTTGGCAAACCAGCAGCATGGAGCCTGTTTTAAACCATAAAGAGATTTATGCAAACGACATACAAGAGAAGGATCAAAAGCGGCGTACCGTTGAGGAACCTGCATATAGACTTCTTCATCCAAATCACCATGTAAGAAGGCATTGTGAACATCCATTTGATGGAGTTCCCAATTTTTAGAGACAGCAACGGCGAGAAAAGCACGCACAGTGACCATTTTGGCCACAGGAGCAAACGCTTCATTGTAATCAAGGCCAGCAACCTGGCGGTTGCCAAAAATAACAAGGCGTGCTTTTAGACGCTCGATGCTACCATCGGAGTGATATTTAATTTTATATACCCAACGACTGCCCAAAGCCCGCTTTCCAGGTGGTAGAGGCTGCATAGTCCAAGTTTTATTTTCTTCAAGAGCACAGATTTCAGCACGCATAGCGTCACGCCACCCTGCGTCATTGACGGCTTCACTAAAAGAAGAAGGTTCAGTGCCAACGCACAAAGCTGCCAAAAAATGACGATATCGAGGAGAAAAATTATCACAATTGACATCGTGAGCTATAGGGAACGGAGTACCTGGGGCGGTCGATGGATTAAGCAGAACGGGGAATGGACTTTCTTGAATAATGGTGTGAGTTGCATAATCCTTGAGTTTGACAGAGGGAATCTTGACGCGCTTACCACGTCCCAAATCGGAATCAAGAGAAGTAGAGTCCGGAGCTGGGTAGAAGATGCTAAAGATGCATCAGGCAAAACTGGCGGAGTAGGCAGTGAGGGCGCAAGAGGTGGGTATTCCCAGATTCTTCCGGAACCATGTCAGCCTCAGTGTGAAAAGGAAATTGATCTTCAAAAAATTTAACGTCACGAGAGACAAAGTATTCATGGGTCTCGAGATCATATACCCGCCATCCCTTTATAATATTACGAGATATTATATTATAAGCCCAAGGTGTATCCCACAAAAACACATTTTCTGCTACGACTGAGAAATTTATCTTTGGTAGAGCGGAGATTGTGAGCAAAACATAAGCAACCAAACACACAAAGAGCATCATAGTCTGCACTCTTCCCAAACAAAAACTCAAAAGGGGTTTTGTGCCCAAGAATGGTAGACGGAGTACGATTAATAAGGTGTGCCGCTGTCAGCACACACTCCCCCCAAAATTGAATAGGCAGGTGTGCCTGAAAACGCAAAGCACGCGCAACATTAAGAATGTGCCGATGCTTGCGTTCAACTCGCCCATTTTGTTGAGGCGTGGCAACACATGAGGTATGAAAAACAATTCCTGAAGTACGAAAATATTCTCGGAGACAATTAAATTCTGTCCCATTGTCACTTTGAACCATTTTGATTTTGTGAGAAAATTGTCGTTCCACCATAGCAAAAAATGTCATAAACATAGAAAATACTTCAGTTTTGTCAACAAGGAGATAAACCCAGACAGCTCGAGAGTAATCATCAACAATAGTTTAGAAACTTCTAGCACCACAAGAAGATGGGGTATTATAAGGTCCCCATAAATCACAATGTATAAGTTCAAAAATACGAGTAGATTTGGTTGTACTAATAGGAAAAGAATCTCTACTATGCTTAGCCCGAAAACAAACTTCACAAGGCTGAGAAACAAAATTGTGAGAACCACTCACAGGAGGCAACCACCTCATTATCGCCTCAGAAGGATGCCCTAATCGTTGATGCCAGACGTCTCCAATATCTAACTCCTTGCGAACGCCAAAAACATGATTTTCTGGAAGATCTTGAAAGTAGTAAAGTCCATTCCTCCGTTCACCCGTCCCAATCAGCCTCCTCGAGTGCCGGTCCTGTATAGTACAAATGTCAGAAGTGAATTGAACAAAGCAATCAATATCCTCTGTAAGTTGAGAAACAGATACAAGACTACAGTTCAATTTGGGAACAAATAACACATGTGTAAGACGTAGAGTGTCAGATAATTGAACTGTTCCTGCTTTAGCCGCTTTCACCTTTTGCCCGTTTGGTAAACTAACAGAACAAGTACTTATCTCTTTAATATTTCTTAAACACCCAAGATCACCCGTCACGTGATTGGTTGCGCCAGTATCAATTATCCAAGACGAAGTATCAAACTTACCAGAAAAACGATCATTCAATGTGTGCGGTTTACCAAACGCAGCAATAAGTGCTTTCCACTGTTCGGGTGAAAAACTGGGAAGACCCTGTCCATCTCCCTGATGTATTTGGTTAGTTCCGTTCCCTTCATCAACTGTCTCCACGCGGGCACTGGAAGACGTCCCTTCCAAAAGTGTTGCGTGAGCCCTTACTCCTCTCCCACGCCCTGCTACTGTTCCGCCACGCCGACCCGTGCCTCTGCCCCGTCCTCCGGGTTTAAAATCAGTCCTCGGTCTATCACCCCACCAGTCTGGGTAACCAATTATTTCAAAACAATTGGAAATATCATGTCCGGATACTTTGCAATGGCTGCACACAGTACCGGGTTTGTCCGCTTTGTTGCTTTTGATTTTATCTCGCCCATCTGTGCGCACAGCGAAGCCCATAACGTCGGCTTTATCGTCTCGAGTCTGCCCCATTCCCTGTACCCTTTCTTCTTGACTTACTTGCTGGTAGGCACGGTTCAGAGTAGGGAGCGGTGTTTGAGTGAGGAGCTGCGAACGAACTGCACCAAAGTGTTCTGGGTATAGTCCCATAAGAAATTGATGGAATCTTTGAGATTCACGGCGCTTCTCCAACTGTTTGGTTAAATCACAGGTGCAACCTTCGCATTTACACACAATTAAGGGTTCAAAGTTATTCAATTCATCCCAAAGGATTTTCAATTTTCCTTAGTATGTCCCAACACCCATTCCCTTTGTTTGTTCGCACCGAGCAAGGTCCGTTTTCACCTGGTGCACTCTTGGACCGTCAACCATGGAAAATCTTTGCTTCAAATCATTCCACAGAAGGCGAGCATCCTCGTAGTTGGACAGAGCGTGTTTCAAATCAGCCGAAATAACATTCAATAACCAGGAAACAATCATCGAATGTAAGGTCATCCAGTCCTCCTCCGTCCATGGTGGCTTCGGTTTCAGAACGCTACCATCGACGAAGCAATATTTCCTTCTCGCCCACAGCGCCAGACGGACAGAATTTGACCACTCTTCGTAATTGTCGCCATTCAACCGCACTGGCGTGATAAAATCGCCCGGTCGGTCTTGTGGTCCCAGAAAAAACGGAGAGGAATGGTCTCTCTTCTCCTCCGTCTCTGCAGCTTCGGTTTCCACCGTGGTTGTGGCACGACAGCCTTCTCAATTTGGGAGCTCTGATACCATGATATAAGCTAAAAGTGAATATAATAATAGTATTATTTCAATTATTGTTCTGCCTCTACAAACGTGAGAGCATAGGTATATAAATACCCATATGGTCAACAAAGCAAGTCAACATAAAAGGAAATACTTAACCTAAATACAATATCCGTATGATATACTAATAATGAGAATATAGCTACATAATCAGCCAAATATTTTGGCAAATAATATAATATCTCGTAATAATAAATAAAATATGATTGATATTTAAATGATCCTACATATGTTTTGATTCCTAATGAATGAACAAGCGATAACGAACAAAAACAACAACATCCAAGTCTTGATCCCAAAAGAAACAAGCGATAACGAACAAACGTAGAAAATAAATCTATGGAGTATGAACTACTTTTTTAAATATTTCCATATGTATGTGTATATGTATGTATGTATATATATATATATATATATATTGCCTATATGCTGGTTACAAGCCCCCTTTTTTTCAATCCAAAGGAGTTGGGTAAAGAAGTGTTTGGTTTGACTGTGTGTACACATACGTACATGGATGCAGAGGCTTCTAGATGCATCTCACAGGGACTTGAGAAGAGCGAGAGCGGCAGCACTGAACATAGTGCCGACGAGTACTGGTGCAGCCAAGGCAGTGTCTCTGGTGCTGCCGAGGCTGAAAGGCAAGCTAAATGGAATCGCTCTCCGGGTCCCAACCCCTAACGTCTCGGTCGTTGACCTGGTCGTGAACGTGGAGAAGAAAGGGGTGACGGCGGAAGACGTGAACGGAGCATTCAGAAAGGCAGCGGAGGGTCCCCTGAAGGGAATTTTGGACGTTTGTGACCTGCCCCTCGTCTCGGCTGACTTCCGAAGTACCGACGTGTCCTCCACCATCGATGCCTCGTTGACTATGGTGATGGGTGATGATATGGTCAAAGTTGTGGCATGGTATGACAATGAGTGGGGATACAGGTACGTACATACTGCAACCTCTTAATTTTATAGGTATCTAGCTAGCTGTTCAACATGTTACATGTGGGACCTCTCCCTCTCCAAACAATGAATTAAAATGTGGGGCTGCGTCATTTGCGTGCTTAAAATATGGTGTGGCATATTTTGCAGCCAACGGGTGGTGGATTTGGCACATCTAGTGGCAAGGAAGTGGCCGGGCAGGGCTGCTGCTGCTGCTGCAAGTGAAGACCCCTTGGACGATTTCTGCAAGACCAACCCCAGTGACGAGGAATGCAAAGTCTATGAAGCTTAAATCCATCACTCCCCTTGTCTTTATTTATTTAAAAAAATATGCAAAAACCACTATTGAATTTGGATTATGGAAGGAATGGGGTATTCTTCATTCCTTTTGTATTTATACTTGCAAGTCTAGTTTCCATTCAACACATATTATTATGAGCTGTAGAAGCTTTCCTTTATTATCTTTGAGCTGATCTATTGTACATATACTAGTATACTGCCACACGCTCACCGTATATGTACGTTTTTCATTTTTGAAGTAGGCCTATCTCTACTATCTACGGAGAAGTATATATGCCGCAGCATGTTACGTAGTACAACTCAAGGTTTCCTTTTCATTATTACAATTTTATAATATATACGGAGTATATATACACAAATGTTTCTGTCAGGTGTATCTGATAAGAGCCGCCGTCCGGGCGTCCGGCCACCACGTTTTGAGGTAGTTTCCGGTGAAATTTTTTTATGAAACTTTTTTAACATGTTCTTCATCAAGTCTAGTATATTCATACCAAATTTCAGCAAAAAATTCAATCGAGAAGATAGTCAAATGATTTGTGTAAGATAACTGCGTTTTATATGTATATAACGGGCGCAGTTAACTTCCAAAAATCATTTGAGTACCTTCCCGATTGAAATTTTAGCTAAAATTTGGTATGGATAAACTATTGATGAAGAACATGCTCAAAAAATTCCACCGGGAACCACCTCAAAACGTGGTGGCCGGACGGCGGCTCCGGCCAGGTATACCTGACTGGTTAGGTATACCTGACCGAAAGATTACTATATACTCCCTCTGTTCTTTTTTAAATGCAACATTGAACTTTTTTCACTATTCACATATTCTATTTTGACTCATTTTGTTTATTAATGTATTATAAATTAAATTTAAAAAAATTGTTAAATTCCTCTTATTTTAAATTTTCAAAATCTTATTTTTTTAATCTTTTTAATAAGGAATGAAAGATATTAATGGTCAAACTTGTGCATTGCCAAACGTGAAAAGTGGACCGTTGCATTTAAAAAACAGCGAAGGAAGTATATATATAGGGGATGGTTCAAATACAAAGAGGTGTTCCCATGAAAAGTGAGATTTAATCTCATGCATTCATTTTCAGATCTAATGGCTCAAATTGAGCCAAAAGTGAACTAAATTTGATCAAAAACGCGGTGACAATTTTGTAATTAAAGTGAAGTTTTTTGTCACCGCGAAAAGTGCAACAGAAACACGCAAAAGTGCAACGCGGCAAGGAAAAAGTGCAAATGTTCGCACTTTGCACGAGAGAACATCTTTTTATTTGATATCTGGGGATGGTTCAAATACAAAGAGGTGTTCCCATGCAAAGTGAGAATTAATTTCGTGCATTCATTTTCAGATCTAATGGCTCAAAATGAGCCAAAAGTAAACTAAATTTGAACAAAAACGCAGTGGCAATTTCGTAATTAAAAGTGAAGCGTATAGCACGCGGTGGAAAACTGTCAAATAAGTTCATCTACTTTTATCAAAAAGTCAATTGAGTCCTTCTACTTCAAAATGATTCAATTGAGTCCACAAAGTCCTAAAAATAGCCAAATTAGCTTATTAACCGGTAATGAACCGGTAACCAACCGCACACCTACGTGGAAGTCCACTTAGAATTATTTTACTGTTTTCTGTTTGTTTTACGGGGGTGTCCCCAATGTGGATTTTAATGGATTTTAAAAGATTTTAGAATTTCATCACAATCTGGGTGTCCTCAATTTGGAGTTCAATAGATTCAATTAAAATATGGGTGTTCTCAATATTTTCATGGATTTCAATTATTATTTGTTATAATGGATTTTAAAGGTTTCTAGTGGATTTCTATGCATAAAACATTCCATCCAAAATATCTTCTAACCCCTTGGGATTTCAAAATCCATCTCATCGTTCGTTACATACGCATAACAGCTCTCCCGTGGAGAAGCAAAACAAATTAACAAACGGACTTTCCAGAGCTTACTTGTAAAATAATCTGTCACTCTCCAGAGCTTACCTGCACAACAAGCGGACTCTCCACAGTGGTCCACTATATCATATCATTGCATTGTCCATGCTTGAAAGGAATCTGTCACTCTAATGCTTGATGGGTTATGCTCTCTAATCAGAGTGGTCCACTAAAATGCGTAGCTGATTATGAATCTCTTGGCTCTTGCGAAAGACATAAATGCTTGATGGGTATTGACGTATTGTTCGATATGCCAAGACTTGTGAGGATGACACCGGCAACCTAGATCCGCCGCCCCTTTTCTTCTTCGGCTGTGGAAGCTGTATTGCTAAAACCTAATGTACGGACTGTTGAGAATCAAACAGGATTTCAATTTCAAATTACACGGATTGTATACAATTCCATTAGAATTTCGTTGACTCTATACAATTCCATAAAAATACACAAAAATCTTAATCCTTTAAAATCCATTAAAATCGGGACACACTTTTTCTCTCCCTACCAACCCTGCGACCATATCCACCCGCACTACCCTTTCCTCCATTTCCGCCGGGCGCCGCCCTGACTATCATATCCACCGCTTCCTCCACCTCTGACCCATAGAACCAGTCGTCACGCTCTTTTTCCTCTGTCCTCTCCCACCGTCCTGTCCGTCCACTGCCGCGAGAAGATGATGCCAGACTGCTGGAATTCCAGAACAACTACTCTGGGATGTTCAAAGCTCTGGAGAAAGAATTCACCGATAACGGTAAGATCGGATTGAATGAGCCAACAATCAGGCGGCTTTCAATTTCTTGTCATGTTCACTCTATGTCTCTATGGCATCAATTCTGCATCGATGAAGCGTCGGATGCGTCAAGGTCATCGGAAAATGGGTACTGTTCAATCTCCATCCTGTTTTCTGTATTAAGCCTCATACGACAGCCAACCCCTGCCTGGCCACCTCATCCCTATTATCCGGAAAGAGGGTTTAATACATCAAACCCCCTCGTGATATAGATATTTAGCGCGTTAAACTCCTGTGATTTGAAAAATGCATCAAACTCTTTTGTGTTTTAATTAATCATGTACAAAACCTCTTTTATGAATAAATTTAACGATTTGGAAATCACTTTTCCTAATATTTTGATTGAATATGCAAGTAAATATGTCAAAATCTCTAAATCATATAAAAATGTTAATCAATTTTCTTTCATTTGACAATTGAATCTATTCATAAAAGGGGTTCTGTGCATAATTAATGAAAACACAGGGGGGTTTGATGAATTTTACCGAGTAAAAGAGACCCAAAAGTGAAAGGAGCAGAGGCCTGGACTCTGGAGTTGTACGATACTATGGAGAGGGGAGGGGAAGAAAGAAAGAGAAAAGCAAATATGTAGTAGAAAAGAAAAAGTAAAAAAATGGAAAACTCTAAAAAAAATTACTGGCTCATTACCGGTGAAAAGGCCAATTTGGCTATTTTTTAACACTTTGTGGACTGAATTGATTCACTTTGAAATATATGAACTTGATTAACTCTTTAGTAAAAGTAGATGGACTTATTTGACAGTTTTCCCATATATATATAACACTTAAACATTGAAGGATAGTTTGTGCTAGTTAGGGGTGGACAAGGTCTCGAGTCTCGACCCCGGGACCGGATATCATGATCGTGAATTGTGATATCCAGTTCCAGGTTGGGGGAAAGCACCGGATAGGCCGGGTACCGGTCCCGCTTGCTCATTTTCGAGATCGTGACTGACTGGTCCGGTCCTGATTCTGTCCCTATGTGTATTTCTTTTGCTTTCCCCCTTTTCCTATTGGTAAGTTAATATAGTTGTTAGTTGTTGGGGGACATTGGAGTCTCTTGGGGCTCTTAATTAGATCGTTGTAGAGGTAGGGGGTTTAAAATAAATTTCTACAAATGCCTCTTAATTTTCTCGTTTTCCTATAGGGTAATCTCGTCTTTAACTTATTTAATATTATTCATACTAGTATCTCACCTGTGCGTTGCACGGGAGGTTATTTTCGATTTTAATGTGCAAGTGAGAAGGTCCATCGATGCATCGGATTTGAACTCAAACTTAACTTAGACCTATGTCTTTCAAAAGGTCCGAGTCCACAAATAATATATTTAATTAATTTTTATTTTTATTTAGGATTTTATTTAATTGAGGACTCAAAAGATATCTTTACTGTTAATCAAGTGCATGAAAGATAAAAATATATCAATTTGGGGGCAGATTGAAATAAAATTGCCAGGCAAAGACCTAATAAATCATAAATAATGATTCATTATTATAAATTTCGATGCATATTCGATGCCATTTTTCCTTCATTTGCAATGAATCCAAGGACTCACTATTTTTTGGTTTGGGAATATGATGGAATAAAACAAAATGTCTCACTAAACTGTCTGGGTTTCTTTGTTATGAAGCAGCAGTCAGTCTATGCAATTTTCGACGCAATTTTCACCATGGGTCATCCGGAAACAGTCTCTTTGTACTGTAATACAGAGGTAAGGCTGCGTACATCCGACCCCCTACCCCACCGTAAGTGGGAGCCTTTGCGACACTGGGGTAATGATGAAGAAAAGAATTGGATGCCATGTCTTATATATTACTTAAAATAAATAAAAAATCATTTGATTTGTATTAGACCCAATGACAAAGTGTGGGTTTTTAAATTTAACAAAATGTCTATCTGGATACAAATCAAGCCACAATTCTATATATAACATGACATTTGGAAGTGCTACACTTGTTCTTGTCCTAATTAGTTAAAAGAAAAAATCACCGGTGAAGACCAAACATGGTATTCTCTGATGTATGTCTCTGTTTTCCAATACAAACACGATTTAGTCAAGATAAAAGATTAATCCGACATCAATGAATAATGCCTCAAGATCCGTGTTGGATCGATTCACCCCTTTTGACAAACTTCCCAATGGGTCACCTATCCTTGGGTTTTCTTACCCCGAGCTCACTTAACTGCAGAGTTCTGTGATTAAATAGCAGTCATATCTTTCTTAAAACCAATTGATAATAAGGAAGTGAACACCCTCTATTTAACCCATTACTCTATAGTCACTAAGTCAAGGTAGATTCATGTGGGGCACCCACCACAGTTTACTACGGCAGTGCATAGCCCCAATACTGAGCACTGGATGGACATGAGGGGCCGCACCACATCGCGGTGACAACAGGTTGGCGGTTAAGCCCTGAATCAAAGGGTGGTGTTGATCCCCATAAGACCAACAACGCAAATAAAAAACAAAAAGTAACAGTAATATTGGACTTATTGTAATACATCTAACATGTATCAATCT